TCATCTAGCTGATTGACAGCTGCCCCCACCCTGTGGGTGCACAGATGGAGGAGGAAGACGAATAGTCGCCTGTAATGAGGAAGAACACAACAGAGGAGTGCATAACTTTTTTTACACTTGGGAGAAAATGTTTTATAGAAACATCTGACAGGATATGGATTTGAGAGAATGAGAGAAATTCATGAGTTAATGGGAAGAACAAGACTGCCAGGGTTACGGATTCTGTTCCCTCAGGGACTGCCAGTCCAGTTGTCATATTGCTGTAAGCCCTTTTGATTAAAGTGCCTACCAAATGGCTGAAGTTAATACTGTAATGACCGTAGTCACTTCACAATCACAAGACAGCATGTCAATTTTATAAAAAAAAAAATTCCTTTCTATTCTCATTTTGCAATACATTAGGAGTATCTATTTTGGCTCATATCATATTTGAAGTTTGAAACTAACAAAATCCACCTCCAGTGAGTGTTACTATTTTTTCCTATTGATTACATGCTAACAGATCTTTTACTGAGTGGCAGGCTACTTTACTCAAACCTAGATTTAAAAGTATTGGTCAGATATCGTTCATGAACCCTGAATTATCATAAAAATCGTGATGATGTTAACTTTAAATGGTGAAGTGTCAAAATAGAGACAACTGACCAGATTTCCAAGGCACAGTTAAAATGTATCAGTGTTTGTGTTGAGCTAATATCACTCTTGTTTATTGTCATCCACCCAGATTGGAATATTAACATCATATTGATGCCGAGCTTGGCAGCAGAATAAGTTGATGACCGTTCAATGACTCAGTGCCAAGTATTAAAGATGTTGAAATGAATGGAGGGTTAATAATTGTTGGTGCTGGGTTCCAACCTGTGCTCTTTAAGCACCACACAGTAATTGAGATGTTTCAGATCTGATCAGCGTGATCTATAATAGCAAGATCTGTGCCGTTGCATCTTTCGGTTAGAGATCAAAAGCAAATACTGTGTCTAATGAGGTGAAAATACTGAAATGGCCAAAGAGCTGCAATGTTAAAGGTCATGTGTGTAACATTTATGAGGCTCTATTAGCAGAAATGTTATAGAATATTCATAGGTATGTTTTCATTAGTGGATAATCACTTGAAAATACAAATTATTGTGTTTTCTTAACCTAGAAGGAGCTGTTTTTATCTACAGAGGGAGCAGGTCCTCTTCTGTGGAGTTTACCACGTTGAACTGCCATGTTTCTACAGTATCCCAGAATGGACAAACTAAACTGGTTCTAGATAGGACCATTTCTTTCATGGCCACCGTTTATCCTACATTCATGGAATGGGGGGGTAAGGCGAGAGGGTCATAATCTGCAGCTACACGGCTACATGCCACTAAATCTTACTCACTGCTCCCTTAATGCTGGGAAACAGCATATTTTCTCTCAGTGAAAACATACAAACTACATGCATACAAATTCAGTTGTGTGCGATTCTTTGTTTTCTTTGTACTGAAGATAAACAGAAAATCATGTATTATGTAGTATTTATTTACTATATTCAGTAGTTAAGAAGACTTTATAAATGTTTATTTTCTAAAACATTAATTTAAAGTTTCTAAGTTTTAGCTTATTTCAGGGTTAACCTCCATCACCTTTTCTCTAGCTGCTGGTAAAGAAAACTCTGCTGGGTTCTTGATAAGCTGTAGCATTTGTTTTAAGTGTAGCTCCATACTGAATGTTCATGGCTTGTTAAAATAGATGGTCTGGATGTTCAGACATCCCTCTTAGGCAGAGATAGCCCGATGGAGTGACTCTCTTCTGTTTGCATATGTATTGACTGAGTTTTTCTGTTAAAGATCAGACAGATATTGGGGCCAACCCCTCTTTCTTTTCTTTTAGTTTTTTGTGTTTATTTACTTTCAGAGGCATTTCCCACTTGTCCCTGTTCATTTCTGAGCGTGACCTCAACCCAGTAACCCCTTTACGCCACCATCTGACTCCACCACACACTACCTCAACCCCCTCCGCCACTCATTCCCCCACTCACACACACATGCTAACACACAGATATTCCCATCCAAACAATTCACCCAGTCCCAGAGATTTTTTTTTTATGCTTTCACAAGCCCTAGAGATAATGCACTGCCAACCCTGACATCTACAGATACACCAAATCCCCTGAGACGTTGGTTTGACATGTGACAAACAACATGTAAACAAGCTACACACAAGGCTGATTTAGAATCAGATGTGTGCTAAAGTGATTTGTGAAAAGGACAAGGAACGCCTGAGGCCAGTGGCTCTGGCTCTGCCTATGTTTCTGTCTCTCTTTACCCATGTCTTTATTTCTTTTTCTGACTCTCTGCCTCTCTTTTCTAGTTAGAGGGACACACAATAATTATTGAAAAACAGTGATAGACAGATAGCTAGATAAATTATTCCCATTCTTGATTTGGAACAGATGAAACCTGAAGCACTAAAGCCATACTGCATCCTCACTAACATGTGCACTAAATGTCATCTTCCTATCTCTCCACATGCTGCCGTGGACCTTGACCCTCCCAACATCATCAGGAGTCAATCCAAGGTAAAGGCGCACACACACAAACGCAGAGACACTTTTAACAAAATTACATGCTTGTGAATCATCTCTGTGTAAAACAAAGGAGCCGCTGTATTTCTTTGGCTCAGTTTGGAGTGTGTGTGTGTGCAACCGTACAGGCAGTGATACAAAGTAATGTCTGTAGAGGCGTTTTTGCCAGAAGAGTTTTGTTTAATTTATTAACTTTTAACCCTCTAGGAGTACTTATTGCTTGGAAACGTTTGAACATGTATCTGGCTGTGCTGTTCACTTTATTGCATATCAGTATTTCCCAAGAAGCACTTTTCTTTCTGTCATCTGAAATGTTCCCATAGTGCTACATTAACCACATGACACTTAAACTCCACTATGTTTGTGTATGTTGAGTGATTTAAAAAGTCCTTTGTATCTAACTTTGTTCCTCAATTTAGAGCTAATTGAACAAACATTAGTAACTGGTAATATAGGTAATATCTAAACCATATGTCATGTAATAATTTTTTATTTAACTACATTCTAATATTGCTTAATATTGTAATATTGCTATGTTAATTGACCATGTACTATCGTTTGTGTGTCTCATACTGCCACTGTTTTATCTTCCTAGGTTTTTGCCTATGATTACTGTTTCTGGTCCATGGACGAGACCGATAAGGAAAAATTTGCAGGTTAGTTTAATTACAGTTCCATTTCACATTATTAAAACTTAAAATTTCATCATTAAAATGCCAAACAAAATATTCAAATGACTTGTGTGTGTGTCTTCAGGTCAGGAGGTGGTCTTCCAGTGCCTTGGGGAAAGTCTTCTCCGCAACGCCTTCCAGGGCTACAATGCCTGTATCTTTGCCTATGGACAAACTGGTAATGTACCATGAGACGCCTCACTATTGTGGGGTCAAGATGATGTGAATATATTTTTATAACAGAGCTTGTTACATAGCTACAGGAGTTAAAAAAAAATATATGAACAATTTCTCTTTGCCCTCATTAATATAGTGCCCTGAAGGTTTTCATATAATGATTCAGAAAGGAGTGTCCTTGTGGCTATGTTGTGGCAGGAAGGTTGAACAGCCTCTTTTCTCTCCAGCATGAACAAAATACCAAAGCTTAAAGCACTTAAAGCATGCAGTGTTCAACCAAAAGCAGAACTTTAAAGGCCTAATAGACCTGCACAATGTTAACAAAACTAACTAAAACGGATGAGTGTAAAAGTTTACTTTTATGGTGCCCTAATGTTCCAGTTGTTTGCACTGTCAAAGGTGTTAATTGAATGAATGAATTTATGGTGTTTTACTGAAATACATTATATTCAGAGGTGTTCCTAATATTCTGCACTCATCATGTATGTAAATGGGAAGGAGGAAAGAAATAGATCAATATGGTGCAGTCTAGTACAACAACACCTTTACTTCAGTAATAAATAGTTATAGAATTCACACATTTTTCACAATGTGAAGAAAAACTGAACATTATAAACTTTGTAAAGGTAGAACTGTTGTATTAAATTGCATAGATGTACCTAATAAACTGGCCACTTTGTGTATATAAGGTTGTTTTAATAGTAACAACTTGTGTTTACGTCAGCTGTTACAAAGAGGCCATTTTCACTTTTCAACAAATTACCTGTTCCCGTTGACATTGTTTGTATGTGTTACCAGGTTCAGGAAAGTCATACACCATGATGGGTTCAGGGGACCAGCCTGGTCTGATTCCCCGGCTGTGCAGTGCTTTGTTTGATCGAACCCAGATGGAGCAGCGGGAGCAGGAGAGCTTTACTGTTGAGGTGTCCTACATGGAGATCTACAACGAGAAGGTCCGAGATCTGCTTGATCCCAAAGGGTATGTCCTCAACATAATCCTCTAACCCTTTTATGAAAGGAAGGATCATTTCTTTCCCTCTATATGGCATAGTGGTTCTGGTAAGTTGTTTATGTTCACTGGTCCAAGACTTTAGTAGTATACAGAATGTTCTTCTTGAAGATTCTTCCCAGTAAAATTGTTCCACTGAGGAGACACGATTGTGGCTTTTACTGTGAAGCTGCAGTTAAGTTGCAGTCACTGGTGGCAATTTAATTACCAAGTGCAAGCCTTGGGGATATATTTGGGCTGAATCTGTACATGGACTGTGGCATCAACCTCAAATTCTAGTAGATATTGTCTGTCTCTGAATAGTTAGTCTCATCAAGCTAGTCTAGTCTAGTCACCTAGTTTAGGTGAACAACCCTAACCCTCCAAAGTCATTTTTGTTATAATCTCAAGTCAGTTGGTAGAATGGAGAAAGTGACTGGTGGATCCTGGTACCACCAGCTGCTGTGGACTGCAGTTAAAAAGATCACTCTTGTGCCCTGCCGTCACTGATGGAGTCCAGTTCATGTCCAGCAGGTCAGCAGTAAATCAGGAGCACAGGCCTGTGTCTGCTGCCCCAGACATCCTAACCTTTGACCTTCACTCACTAGTTGACCTTTTAACCTCAGTAAAATGGGCCAAAGAAAAGCAGACCATCTGACAGCCATATGGGCTTTGCTGTGGAGCAGAGAATGATGAAGTTCTCAAGCCTGAAGCAAGCTTGAATCAGGATCAGAGAGCTAAGTGCTAACAAAGTCTCTATGAACTGGGGAAGGTTGTAGTGGTGTCCAGAATCAGCTGAGCCTATATTTCCACTCCTGCTAATACATCAGATGAATAGTATTTTACCAAGAGTGACCATGTTGTTTGGCTGTATTTTAAACCTGCTTTTGTTTTCTGTCCAGGGGCAGACAAACTCTGAGGGTGAGGGAGCATAAAGTTTTGGGTCCCTACGTGGATGGCTTGTCTCGACTAGCTGTGGCCAGCTACAAGGTAAAAATATCGTCTATCGTGGTTTTTAGTTTGCTTTTAAGCCAGGGTTATTGACACACTCGTTCACTGACGTTAACTGGATACCGCTATTTTACATTCTGGCTGCCTCATCCGTAGCAGTCACTCTGACCAGTGTGTCACTGTCCAGCAGACATGTGAGCAGAGCATCTTACTTGCATTCCCTCTCACTTTGATCTTTAGACTTTGAGGATTTGCAACAGTGCTGGTCACATGATGGCTGCAGTCTGCTTAGCAGTCCCACTAATCACACTGGAAAGGGGCTAGTTATAAAAATCTGAATTAATCACATTCTGTAGTTTGTTTGGCTTTCTAGGAGACTTGAACACACTTCACCAATTGAAGTTGTCACTAAATATATAAACATAGAATCTCCAACCAAATACATAGTACTGTATAATATTCTTCAGTCTTAAAAGGTAACTGTGCATGGAGAATCAATATTATAAAATTGTATTATTCTTTATTTATTGTTTGATTACTGTTGTTTTGACAGGACATTGAGGTTCTAATGTCAGAGGGGAATAAATCGCGGACTGTCGCTGCTACCAACATGAATGAGGAGAGCAGTCGATCACATGCTGTCTTCAACATCATCCTCACACACACACTCAAAGACTTGAAGTCTGGGGTAAGATATCACAAACATACACAGGCTGGAGTAGGGCAGAGTTTTAACACACACAAATGTGTGCGTTAGCCACTTTTAAGGGAAACTTGTAATAGTAGATGAGATCATAATTATTTTTCCTCAGTGTCTTTTTCATGGTGTACCTTCTGTACGTTATTATTTCATCCTAGTTTTCACATCATTAGACATTAAATGCCTTTCCTCTCTCACCTTCTGTCGACCCATAGTCAATCTGCTTCCTCTAACAAACACAGGCGAACATGTACTAATGTTTTTTCCAGTGGTCATTTCTAATCCTCGATCAATCAACCACTGCAGCCGGCGGGTAAAAGGGTAGTTACAAAATGATGTCTGCTCAGCTGTCTGACCAGACAATCCAAGAAAAGTCCTAAATTACTAATTCTCCATCCTCATTGACCCACTTTGCCCCTCCTGCTCCTTGCTCTTATTTCCAGACCAACTTGCCACCAGCATAAGCTGTTAATAATTCACAGGTGTGACTTTGAGTTTGTCAGTTGATACAGCCTGCTCTGTTTACAAGGCACACCCAGTCAGTCACTAAGTTGTTCAGTCAGTCAGTCAGTAGGTTCATCAAGGAAACCGCTAATGCTAGTCTGTGTAGTCAGTGAGTGAATCACTTAGCCGACGCGTCCTGTATCTGCATGAGTCAGTTCTTTATTGTCTTTGTTACCTTATTTTATTGTCTCCTAATTCTAATTCTAAAAAAAATTAAATGGACAGGAAGTGACAAATTAGTTTGCTTTCTCACAGGGAACTCTTCTTTGACCACTACAAACCCCAGTAGACCAGATGTCAGCTCATTTTAGTCAAATTGGAGTTATATTCTTTATGTTCTACTTTTTGCTGCTTTGCGTTACTCGGCAGTTATGAGAGATGCTGCTTTAAAAGTACAGAAGAAGTCAAGGGAAGACAGGCAGAGCTGCGTAATACCTTTTAATGTTTTAAAACAATAGTTAATCCTTGTACCGTCAAACAATGTTTCAAGGCAGGGAAAAACAGTATCCAGTAGCCCGCAGAGCTGGGGACGGTCTGTGCATGTAAAGAACCACATATCTTTGTTGATTTTGTGTTTCCCATTCCTAAATCTATAAAAGAGGGAAAGTGATGATATAAATATATATTGGTGACTTAGAGCAACGATTAGACTACTGTCAGAAAAATGTAACTATTTTGATAATCTGTTAAACATCTGTTGTCTATCAAGCATCTCTCTGTTTTATATGAATTATAGAATTCAGTATTTTGGTGTTAGTCAGACAAAACAAGTAACTGCTTATTATAGAGTAAAAGATTAATCAGTTAATCAAAATAAGACATTACTAGATTAATTGGTAATGAAAATAATCATTAGTTGCAGCCTTAAAATTATTGTACAATTCATTTACTAACTCAAATAACTGGATTTAGGGTTACACTTAAATTATATGCTTCTGTTCTAATGTATAATGATGTAAAATTGAATCAAATTGAATCTTTCATTTAGTTTCACTACACAAGTTGCTTGTTGTTTTTGTGTTGTAGTACTTTTTTATTCTATTGCCAGAATCCCCTACAGAAAGCCCACTAATAGCATGAATATATAGTATTGCACATGCATCTAAATGTGAACTTTACCATTGCTCTTTAAATATTTGCGCTTGAGAGAAAGAAATGTTATTTAAGTTAAGTACCTTTTTTTTCAGCCAAATGTTTAGTTAAATTCTGACTTGCCTGTGGATCATTGGAGCACATCTGTGCCCCCTAATGGCTCAGCCAGTGTTGTGAGTGGAGGCACAGTGATGAATGGACAGGTTAAAAAAAAAACTAAAACTCCTATGCCTACCACCACCTGTGACACACAGCAAAATCCCCCTGTGCTGGATGACTGGTTCTGAAAATCGCCAGCTCATTGCAGGATTTCCTTTTACTAAACGTGCCCTGCTCAGACTTGTCAACGAAACACTCCAATCAAAGTTCAGTCAGTTTGAACTTTGGCCCCATTTGCTACCAACTCTCAGTTGTTTGCTGATTAGTCTTCCTCTTCCTTGCTAAATCCAGTCAAGCTTTGGTAACCTTGTAGTATAATGCAGTTTTGTTTTCCAATGATGACATCTGCTACATTGTCTTACCATGTGTAGTGTCTGTTGATGCCCTGACACCTGTTCTGTGCTGGTACCTTAAAGCTGCTGCCAAGTAGGCTGGCGAGCTGATGTCCTTCCTGATGATCAGATTACTGATCCAGGTATCAGCTGTCCTGGTTACAGAATCTCTTACTGAGCAAGAAAAATGCCGCAGTGGCTGGTATGTCCTCCTTTTCACTATTTAATCATCCGGCAACATGTTAAAAATAGGACCAAAGAATAGAATTGCAGAGGCAGAGACATAGACATTGAAAAACACAGGTGTTTATTTCCAGGTCTGACACCAGCACGTAACGAGACCTTCACTGTTTGGTACAGTCTAGTCATTGGTTATTGCATTAAGGAGCCATGATTATTAAATTTCCCTAAGTTATAATTTTCTATTGTATCTGCTGGTGTTCAGTCACCAGCTTTGCCCTCCTCTATCTGGCTTTCCAGTATGTATTCACAGTCTCAGGCCCTATTTATAAAAAAATAAATAAAAAAAAGAGGAGAAGATTTTAGTCTATTTTCGGATCTTATTTGCTCAGTGTTCCAGATAGAAATCTCTTGTTTGTTTAATAATTTGCTTGACTCTGGGGGGGGGGTTTGAAGCAGTGCTGGTCTCAGGCTGATCTGTATCAGTGCAGTTGAGGTTGATCCTAATCAGTTAGTCTCGTGACCGGGTCTTTTCAGGACTTCATGTTTTGGGTTTGCTTTACCTGGGATTTTAATGTGTTGTGGAATGTGTGATGAAAATCTTTTTTAAGATGTTTACGATCAGACCTGTCCCTTTCTCAAGGCAGTGTTGCCTTTATGTGCACAATACAATGCACTTCACTTGTTTCTTAGATGCATGATGGTGCATTGTGCTTTGTCAGAACACTTCCTAGCTCACAGAAGTCCTATGGTTGAACAGGTTCACTGTAGACAGACAAATGACTGCAGCTGCTGATGTGCTGCTTTCACTGTGTGGCAGGTGAAGATCAGGTGTCACATTCAGCCTTGTCAGCTACTGATCTGTCACGCTTGGCCAGGAGTGGATTTGTACCAGTACAGATGGCGATGTGATATCCACATCTTCAACAGCCCGCAACAGGAAACAGAAGGAACCTGTCAACAACAGACTGAAAGATGAGAAAGTCTAACAGAGCATTTTGCATCACCTGGTTCGTAGAATCACAAGAATCAGAGACAGCGTAGAGAAAGTCCTCTGAACAAGAGTGGACCAAATCATAATCTGTAGCTAAACAAACTCAAACCTCAATAATGAGGGGAGGTTTCTGATAAAGCCAAACGCCTTGTTGTTTATTTCTGTGGTGTCTTGCTTGCAAATCAAAGTAGTGCTCAGTTGAAAGCTGACGGGAACTCAGCTGGGATTGCCTTGATGTAGTGCCTCCATGGTGATTAATGAGCCATCAGTGTTTTTCAGACCTCATGAGGATGTAGTTCGTCACATATTAAGAAGGAGAACAAAAGCTGGTTGCATTTTGCAGAGGGCAGAAGTGAGAAGCGGCCCATGTCCGGCTGTATTGCCACTTTTGTATTGGACTGTCGTATGATGCATTTGACAACAAGACAAACAAAAAATTCCCTGATGGTGGTGGCATTTATGACTATGACTGAGTAACATGCATACCATATGTCATTCTGAAGGGGTTTTTTATCTAACACATTGTGAATAATATGGCAGAATTTTCAATACAATACTTATGATGAGTATTAAGAAGAACATAGTTTGTGCAAAGCTCATTTTTGGTGTAGAATTTACCAAGGTGAATAGCTCGTCAAAGGTCAAAAATGTTGACAGAAAAATTTAACAAATATCCACAAAATCTTGGAGTCTGGGTTTTGTTAATGAATAGTAGGGGGCCACATGTTTAAATAAGGAATATGCAAGTTGTCAATAATCAGACTTTAATCAGACTTTCTCTCTCTGTCTTTCTCTGTAGACGAGTGGTGAGAAGGTGAGTCGGTTAAGTCTGGTAGACTTGGCAGGAAGTGAGCGAGCAGCAAAGACTGGAGCAGCAGGTGAACGACTCAAGGAGGGAAGCAACATCAACAAGTACGCAAAAGCAGTTCAACACAGATACATAAACTTAACCCACACACAAACCCATGATTTGTGATCTGTTTTCCCAATCAGGTTGTTTATTCGAGTCGAAACCCTAAACTGTCTTACAGATGTATTCAGTGTCACTTTCTATTGCAATCATTTTTTTCTAACCACAGTGTTGTCGTAACACTCTTGAGACGCATTTTTGGTCATTTGCACTTAGAGCTGTAGATGTGAAATAAAGCACATACTATTAAAATCTCCTAAAGCGTAGTATAATACTTAGTAAAGGTGTCTGGAAAAATCTTTGAAACAAGCTTTTTGTTAGAAGCATCCCAACACACAAATGGATACATTCACACGCTAAAGGAACAGGGTGATACATAGACTGTGTTTTTGTGTTTTTCAGGTCTCTCACTACACTGGGCCTTGTGATCTCGGCGCTAGCTGAACAGGGAACAGCCAAGAACAAGAACAAGTTTGTTCCTTACAGAGACTCTGTTCTGACATGGCTGCTGAAGGTATACACATATTCTCCAGTGCATGTTCTTTACTTTCCTCTTAAGCACTGCTGTTTGACAGTGATTTCTCCCCCTTTCCTATCACCTTCTTCCTGCATTTCTTGCATCTTTCTCCAGGACTGTCTGGGTGGCAACAGCCGCACGGCGATGGTTGCAACTGTGAGTCCAGCAGCAGACAACTATGAGGAGACGCTATCGACCCTGCGCTATGCAGACCGAGCAAAGAACATTGTGAACCATGCTGTTGTTAACGAAGACCCCAACGCTCGCATCATCAGAGAGCTCAGAGAGGAAGTAGAGAAACTACGAGTACAACTGACTCAGGCAGAGGTGAGATATCTGCGAAATCTTAGAAATCAGCATTTGGAAATGTATGTTTTCCCTGGCACTCATCTGCTTTTTTTTTCCTTCCAGTCTTTGAAGGCTCCAGAGCTGAAAGACCGTCTGGAAGAGTCTGAAAAGTTGATTCAAGAGATGACCATCACCTGGGAGGAGAAGCTTCGCAAAACTGAGGAGATTGCACAGGTAAGACGCCCAAGACTTGTAGAAGTTTGATTTTCTACGTGATACTTCTCCCAAGCACAAATTAAAAGTATCAGATCGTACACTGTGTAAATACGATCTTTGTCTCTGTGTTTGCAGGAGCGTCAGAAGCAGTTAGAGAGTCTGGGTATTTCTCTCCAGTCTTCAGGGATTAAAGTTGGCGATGATAAGAGTTTTCTTGTCAATCTTAACGCTGATCCTGCCCTCAATGAACTTCTGGTGTACTACCTGAAGGTACACACATACTTTACTTTACATCATGCTTTACTTATTACCCTGTTGTTTAATTTCCCTGTTTTTACTTGTCGATACAATTGCTCTTTAAACATCCCAACTCTGCTGTCATCACAATCTTTATAAATGCGCACTGTTTAAACTTATAGAAGCTGAAGTTTCATTTTCATAACTAACTGGCTGAGTAGGAGTCTGTTGTCATCTGACTGATAGTGAGTGCTTGTGTTTTGTGTGTTGGGAAGCCTCAAGACAGAAATTATTTAATTATGCTAAATTCGAAAGCGCAGCGTTTACAAAAAAAACAAATAAAATAAAATTGTTGTTTGATTGGCTCAATTAGGAAAGATAAAGTCTCATCAAGATAATAATTTCAGGGGCAAATAAAGGTCAAGTCAGTTGTAATTGCACTCACACACTTGCGTGTAGGCTTTTACTTTACTAACTGGTCCGACTCTCAGCTGATAACATCTAGTAACATCTGGAATGTTGTGTCTCAGGAACACACAAAGGTGGGCTCAGCAGACTCTCAGGACATCCAGCTGTGTGGGATGGGTATCCAGGCAGAGCACTGTGTCATCGACATTGCAGCAGATGCTGCCGTCATCCTCACCCCCCATCGCAATGCTAGGTAAGGAAGACCAACATCACAGTCCCTAAAGACCAGGCTGAGTGACAAGAATAAAACATGGCACCGACAGTGCCTCGATTAAAAGTTCCTGTACCACTGGAGACATCGTTCCATCAGTTTGAAACAGTAAGCCCTAATGTCACTGCTGTCTTGTGTTATAGGACATGTGTTAATGGTTCTCCAGTAACCAGTGGTCTGCAGCTTCACCACGGTGATCGAATCCTCTGGGGAAACAACCATTTCTTTAGGTAATTTTATACCGATTCCAAATTTGTATGATGTTTTCTTTTTTGATCATACTTTTCATACTTTTTCAAATAAGAAAATATTACTCAGTATATCCTTAAATAATCAGTTTACATCATTTGTACATGCTTTAAATATACATGTATTTTATTTTTTTAAATCTTCATTTTAACATATTTTATTTTAGTTTTTATTTAAACAGTTTTTCTTATGTATCTAAGATATTACCTTATCACCTGTGATGATGTTACCGCAAATTAACCAACTGCTCCCAAAGATTATAGTTAATTAACTGGACATCCTATCTGCAGGATCAACCTGCCTAAGCGGCGCTCTCGCGGAGCTGAGGATGAGGAGGGCGAGGGTGGTGTGATGAAGAACAGTGGCAGCAGTGAGCAGCTGGATGCAGATGGGGACACCGCCAGTGAAGTGTCCAGTGAAGTCAGCTTCTCCTATGAGTTTGCCCAGACAGAGGTCATGATGAAGGCCCTCGGCAGCAATGGTAAGGAGACTGAAATATCCATATTCTGCATCATCTGTTAAGTTTAGTCTCCTGTCTGTGTTTTCTGACTCCTCCTGTCTTTTGTCCTGTCAGACCCCATGCAAGCAGTCCTTCAGTCTCTGGAGAGGCAGCATGAAGAGGAGAAGCGTTCTGCTCTGGAGCGTCAGAGACAAATGTACGAGCAGGAACTCCAGCAGCTCCGCAAGAAGCTGAACCCAGACCGTCTGTCCACAGGCCCATCTGGAGGGTCGGCGTCTGGCCAGCAAGGTCCGGGACAGCAGTCTCACTACCGCAGCCTGGAGAGACTCAGTATGGGAGGGATGAGTCATTCAACTAGTGCTCAGAGCAGACTGAGGCAATGGAGTGAGGACAGGTGGGAGTGTCTATCCGTGTTTATGTGTACCAAGAATAGAAATGCGC